GTCTAGAATGACTCCTCCTAGCAAGTGTCTTGAGCAGTGTTTTGCAGCCTAGCTGGGAGGACAAGGGCAAAGGTCAGTTAATGCTTAGAAGAGAAATTCCCAACGGATGAAGAACTCTTCAAAGATGAATTTTGAGAGGGCTGTTATGTAAATGAGGAGCAAGTAGGAGCCATGTTGTCATGTCAACGAGTAGACAACTGTTGGCATCTTATGTGAGTGAGTACTTGTCTAGGAAGGAGCAGAGACAAGAACACAGAGGCCTCTGTTGTGGGCCTATCATGAAGGTCTCCTCTGCATTATCGTGGCTGTCAGCTCCCCGCCCCCCCGCAAACACACACACACACATTCTGTCTTTGGCTCCCCTCGATATATTTCCTCCTCTTTGCGTAGAGTGAATAAAGAGCTCTGGAGAAGGTGGAGTCTGAAACAAAGAGGCCATTAAACTATTCAGATTTGTCTGGCCAGAGGGAGCATCTTTCTATAATCTGAACAAAGTACAGGCTAACAGCCCTGTTGTGTGCAAATGGCCAGCCCCAGCCCATTTTTTAAGCTGACTTCCCAGGGTAGTAGACCGTGGAAGGGAAGTAAGGAGACCAATCTTAGCTTGTCTCATCTGGAAGTCTTCTCGATCTGGAGCTTCCCACCTCAGCCTGGAACTTAGGCTGTTGAGAATGTGTAGACAGAGCCTCTGGGGGCTTTCTCTAAGGATGCTGGATCTGAGGCGGGGCCAGGAAGGAGAGGAAGAACAGAGGGTATTCCTTCTCTCTGCCACAGGCCTGCACCTGGAACTCAGTTCTAAAGTTTATCTCTTGATCACACAGCCAGCCCTGAGCTGGTCTTGGGACACCAGCCGTCAGCCAAGAATCCACCTAGTTTTTTAGAATGATTTTGAATATGATGGGGGCCAGTCCCTCCTTTAAAAAGCCATCAAGTTGCTGAAGTTGGCAGTTACCCAATTGGACCTCACCAGGGCCTGATCACTCAGCCATATTAACCACTGAATCAAATTAGGATGGGCCCCGGCTTCTGAGCTCAGGCTTGTAAGGGGCTATGGAGCAGCTTTGTTCATTTAGCCAGATTTAGTGAGCAGTTACTCTGTGCCAGGCACTGCTTGGTTACTTAGGCACAATATTGAACTGGTCATGCATGGCCTCTGCCTTCAACAGACTCCCACTCAGATGGAGAGACAGGCAATAAAACAAGCAGTTATCCCACTGAGTAACAGTGCTGTGGCATACAGAAGCCACTCATTTTTTTTTTTTAAAGATTTTATTTATTTGAGAGAGAGAGAATGAGAGATAGAGAGCACGAGAGGGAAGAGGGTCAGAGGGAGAAGCAGACTCCCTGCTGAGCAGGGAGCCCGATGTGGGACTCGATCCTGGGACTCCAGGATCATGACCTGAGCCGAAGGCAGTCGCTTAACCAACTGAGCCACCCAGGTGCCCGCCACTCATTTTTGAAAGAGTAAAATGAATGAAAGATCAAATGAATGAATAATGGAGTGTTGTGCCATCCTGACCTGGGGGGTTAGAGAGGGCTTTCTAGAGGAGGTGATATGTAACCTGGAGGATGTATAAATTTAGCCATATGAAATGAAGTAATGGGGAAGAGTGGCAGGGGAAATGGCATGTGCAAATGGCCTGGGGTTGGGAGAGTGAGCTGTGGTGGCAGAACCGAGAAAATTCTAACCGATCGGCTTAGGTTATGGGGGCCACAGTGGGGGTATTTGGAAGAGATGAGGCCTGTGAAATACTCCAGGTTGTGTTGTAAATTATATTGTCATCATGTCGAAGAATTTATATTCATCCAAAGAAATGGGACTTTTAAACAAACAGGAGATATTGGTATTTTCAGGCACCAGGGTCAACCCAATGAGAACATTGCAGAGGACCTTTATCTCTGTTTCCTGGAAAGGATGGAAAAGCATGATGCTTGATATAGTTCTCAGTTCTAATCACACAAGTTACATGTGGATAATGGTCATGGTCAGGTGGAGACGTGCTGAAAGTGTGTCTGTGATCTCAGGGTGTAGGGATGAGAAGGTGAACAGGGCAGAGTTCCCTTCTGTATCTACTAGCCTAGAGGGGGCTCACACTCAGGAAATCCTTGCCCATGGGGGCCCATGATGCACCAGGGCAGATGCTTTGAAATTGGTAGTCAGGGCTGGGAACAAGGACTTGGGGAGAGGAAGGCCAGCCTGGATGCCCCCAGGTAGCAAGTCAGTTATAATGGATAGATAATGGAAGCTGTCATACTCACAGGCCCCTTCATTAGAGATCTTCCAGCCTGGCCCCCTCCAAAAGGGCTTGCCTAATTCACTTGTGATATACTGGCCACCAAACATTCACCATCTCTGAGGCAAAGATTATCCATACCCATCCTTGGACCAAGGCTCAGTCTGAGAACCCATCAGACCCCATGATGCTTTCTCATTCCTGACGGAAGTGGTAGAGATACACATGTTGCCATTGAACTCCCAGAGCGGGGAAAGATACAGCATTCATACTGCAGACGGGAAGACAAAAAGGAGGAGCTGAATGGGAACAGGGCCTTTACATTGTTTTTAAAGAAGTCTCACTCAACAAAACTCCAGTTGAGCAATATACTTTTGAGGTCCCTTGTCCCAAAGCAAAGCTCGCCAGATCACCAGGCAGATAAAGCAGCAGCTGTGCTGGGTACAACTTGGTAAAGCTGGACCATCACCTTGTCTGTGTGCAAAGCCTCATGGGAGAATGCACAAAGGAAGTTCCGCCTCCCCCGTCCAGAAGCTGACATCCTGAGCTGCCAGAGTTTGCTGTTACCCTCGCAGCTCTGGTGTCTCTGCGTCTCACCTTCATGACCAATTGCTAAGAAGACAGACACAGTTCTCTAAGAAAGCCCCAAAGTCCCGCTCCTTTAGGCCCAAGGTACAAGGAATGAGGGGTGGGAGGGAAGCAGACTCTTGATGGTGAGGCCTTGCTAATATGCATGGGGCCCAGGGCAAGAGTAGAAAAGGAGTCCCACACACTATCCGTCTCAATGTTTATAAATCAAGCCAGCAAACATAAACATAATATGTTCTCCTGTCTTGGCAAACATACCTTGGAAATGGATCTGGAAAGTCAGGTTTGATTTTAGAATCTCACACCCCTCGGAGTGGCCGGCCACAACATGGCAGTGTGGTGGGGGGGCGGGGGTTGGGGACCCTGCCTCAAGGCCCTGGCCCCTCCCTTTCTCCTCCTACCACTTGCACCAACCAACACCATGGGCCTCCCCCCCATACACGTGGACACCTCAGCCTGAACATCGAAGCTCTGTCCAAATGGCCACCCTTGGACCTGAGAGCGTGCACACCTGAAGCATGGTGTGTCCCCAGTAGAAGAGATCCATGGATGAGCCTGCAGAGACCCTGAAACGGGGCTCAGAGGCCATTTAAACAGAGAATTCTGGGATCTCAGAGACCCATAAGGTGCTCTCAGGGAAAGTGGTTTCCAGGTAGTGTCCTCCCGGCCCCACAGATTTCTTGCTGCCTGAGGATGGTTATCGCCTGAGGATGGCTATCGCCGGAGGAGGCCCAGGGCAGGAGTCCCTCTTGCCCACAGCTAAATAAGCACGCTACTGTTGGCAGGGACCACGGTGTCATCACGGCTGTGACACTGGTCTGAACGTTTAAAGAAAACCATGCACTGTGCTTCTGAATACATCACTGCCTTCCCAAGGGCTGGCTCAACTTCCGTTCCTCCTTCATCTGTCCCAGATCAGACCCACACAGGACTCTGGGAAGACCTCCCCATTCCCACTCACCCCAAGGCCAAATGTCCCAGTGCCTCCCAACGCCCTTTGTCCCAAGCACATCCTCGAGATCTTGACACCTCCACAGAGGCAAAGCTCTAGCCCCACTGCATTTTCAGCAAGGGTTTCTTGATCCAACTTGGGCACCAAGGGACTGACGAGGTTAGTGTTGATGGCTTGAGGTCCCCTTGCTGAGAAAACCAAAGAGAACTGATGCCTCACCTAGTAGGAACACTGAAAAACCAAAACTCAAAGCTCAGGGCCAAGTGTGAGGGTGTGCAGAAAGGTGTGTGTTTTTTCTTGTCATTTTCGACTCTAATGATGGACTCACGTTGCCCGCTCTTCCCTTTCTCTTACACCTTACCTACCTACTAAAGGAGGAGCTCTTGCTTGGTAAGTGGATATAATCCGCAAAGACATGAGAGAATTTATTAGAAGCCACTCGAGAGCCTTAGCTACCTTCTCCAGGGGGAAAAGGACACACACAAATATCCGTAGAGAGCTTTTTTTTCGTTTGTTTTCAGTCAGACTATTTGACTTCCATTTTTTTTGCCCCCCTTTTTTTTCCCCTTTAGTTGAAAACTACTAAAATGTCATTTTGTGACCTTGACTTTATATTTAAAAAAAAGAAAACTCTCTTTATTTCATTTCTTTTCCCCATGCGATATTTGTTTAGGGTTCTGTTCAGGGAACTTTTTCTTTAAAAAAAAAAAAAAGTCAAATTCATTGAGGATTTGGTTGAAGTTTAAAATTTTGGCTTTATCTCTCTTTTTTTTTAAGTTAAAAGATATATGTTTTTCATGCCCATTGTCCCATTTCTTTTCCCCTTCCCCTTCCTTCATTTTTATTACTGTTTTAGGTTAAGGGTGTGACACACCCCCCTTTCGATTGAGTTGTCTCTTTTGTTTGAGTTAATTCATTAGAAATTAAATTTTGTATAATTTCCTTTTTCTTTGGTTTAATCTGGATCGCATGCTTTTTCTCTGCATGATACCTAAATCTTCCAGTTATTCTAACAAGGGGTAAAAAAATATCTCCTTTCTGTGGAATTCTTTCAGGAATTTGTGCTTTTGTTTTTTTTGGCGTCTCTCTTTCCTCTTCTCTCTCTCTCTCTCTCTCTCTCTTTCCTTTCGTTACAGTGCATCATGACGGTAAACATTTCTTGGTTATTTAGACACAGTGCACAGGCCCAGCGATCAGCAGTGTCCAACGGGTGTTTTTGCTTTCAGATCACTGGGTCGGGGTCTGCAGCTGACCTCTTTACCAAAACAGCCAGCCCGCTCACCACCTCCAGAGGACGCTCCCAGGAGTATGACTCAGGCAATGACACCTCTTCACCACCCTCCACGCAAATCAGCTCAGCCAGGTCGCGGGGCCAAGAGAAGGGGAGCCCCAGTGAGGGCCTCACCAAAAGCCGGGAGCTCAACTGTGGCAACACCTCTGATTCAGGGAACTCCTTCACCACCTCCTCACCCCAGAACAAGGGGGCCGCTTTGGAGAATCTCTCCCCCACCAGCAGGGGCAGAGAGTCAAGGTCAGTGCACCTGGGCTGGAGGAGGGGTCGGGGGGGGGGGGGGGGGGGGTTCTGCCTTAGCTCTACCCCCTCAGTCTCTCACCTTAGCCCTGTACCCATGCACTTCCCACCCCTAACCCAGGAGGCTTTGATTTGCAAGAGAGAGAAAACTCAAACTGGCATAATTTGGGGGTGGGGGGGAATCCGAAGATATCAGCTTCAGGTACATCTGGATCCAGGGACTCAAAAATACATCCTTGAGATTCTGCCTTCCCCATTACATCTCTCATCTCTGCTTCCCTCTCTATTGGCTTCATTCTCAAGCAGACCCTCCCAAAGCATGGGCACGTATGCCAACAGCATTCACATATGCTAACCATTCTATCTGTTTAGCCAGCCAATGGAAGGAGAATGCCCCTTTCCCAAAAATTTCAGCAAAATACCAGGGCAGATTCTCCTTGTTTCTGCCTGGCCCATCTTGGGCCAGGTGGCCAAACGTGCCCACCCTTGGACCAGTCACTCTGGCCCAGGAGATGCTGTGCTCTTGGCAAGAATATGTCACATGCTACCATCAGGGTTAGTGAGTAGTCTTCCCACATACACAAAAGTTGGGGGAGGTCCAGTTGTCTGAAGGAAAAGTCAGGGTACTGATATCAGGAAGGATGGAGATGGGCAGGCAAAAACAAATATCAGTTTTACCAGTAATCTCAGGAGAAAGTCTAACATTAAATTCATTTAAAGTTGCTGTCATGTTAAAACATTTAAATGTACTGAAACCTTGTGTCAACACAAAAACCTGCTCCTGGATGTTTGTAGCAGCTTTATTCATAATGGCCCAAACTTGGAATCACCTAAGACATCCTTCAGTAGGTGAATAAACTATAGTACATCCAGACAAGGGAATATTATTCAGCACTAAAAAGAAACGAGCTATCAAGCCATGAAAAGACGTGGAGGAAATTTAAATGAGTGAAAGAAACCAGTCTGAAGGCTACATATGGTACAGTTCCAACTCCATGACATTCTGGAAAGGGCAAAACTAAGGAGACAGTAAACAGAGCAGTGGGTAGAGATGTAGAGAGGGCAGGGGTTAGAGAGGGCTGCTTAGGTGGAGCACAGATCCATAGTTTCCGTTTCTCAAAACCCATTGGGTTCACAAGAGTAAACGCTAATGGAAACCGCGGACTCCACGTGATGATGTGTCAGTGGAGGTTCAGTGGTGGTAACCAATGTATCGCTCTTATGTGAGATGTGGAGAGTGGGGGAGGTGGTGGGTATGGAGAGTACAGAGGGTTCGCATATACCTGCGGCGTGTACATGTGTGCCTGTGTGTGAGTGTGTGTACCTTCACACCTTGCTAGATGCAGTTTTCCTGCAGAGAACCTTGCGTGCAGTGGCTTATGAGCCAGTTTGTAAACTCTACTTCATTACCCCCTTACCCTCTCATTCAAGAAATCACAGCAAAATGCTAATCACCGAGGATAATGTCACAATTACGGCTAGTAGAAATCGCTGCTCATTGACTATCATTCATTCAGCTACTTACCCTCTCCTGGTTATCAGGCACCTCCTAGAAGCCAGCCACTCAGCCTGGTGCTGGAGAAAGGGAAATGGCACAGTTCTTTTCCTCAGGAGCATATAATGAGGCAGATGCAGGAGGGGTGGAAGAGATTTGCTGGTACATTCTCATGCTAACGTGGGGTCTTCTTTCTTCTGGAGGTGGGAGTCTGCTTTTGTTCAAAGTGGCCAAGATGTCAGAATGATAAGCAAAGCCTTAGCAGTGAAGCAGTTAACGGCTTCTTCAAGGACAGAGCGCCCTTTGTCCCCAACACATAGCCCACTTCAGTTCTTGACAAACAGCTTAGCATCTCCACGGAGCCTCTGGTTTGCCTGCCCTGGGACATCCCTGGCCTCAGTTCACACCCAAGCCTGCCTGGGAGCCAGGGCTGGGTCAGAACAAATGTCAGTATCTCCGAGAACAGGCAGTGAAATTCCCAGATGAGACAGGGAGGACAGGTGTCTACTTACATACCCAAAGAAAAAAAAAAAAAAAAAGAGAGAACCAGAATAGTAATAGTAATAACAACTGATAATAATAACGACTGCTCATATGTCTTGAGCCCTGATTATATGCTAGGTGCCATGCTGAGTGCTTGCCATGGATCATCTTCCTTCACTCCTCATAGAACCTTTATGGGATAAGTATTATCAGAGATCTTTTTTAGCTGGTGGGGAAACTGAGACTCAGAGTCGTTAAGAAACTTAAGATCATAAGGGCCAGCGCCAGGATTCAAACACAGATCTGTCATAGCATTGAAGCTGAAGCCTGAGTGGCATCTAGCAGTTACCTGCTTCATTTGATCTCTATGGACAGCCAAATTAAATCATTTAGACCCAGCCTTTCATTTTGAAATATAAGTGATCTCTAAATCCATGGCTATTTATGCCATGTCAGCAATGAGCAGAGAGCTGAGAGGAAAAGACATGATCAGCTCTAAATCTAGGGAACCTTCAACAGTGAAGATAGGGGACTGGTGGGGTGACAGGGGCATAGGCTTTGAAGCTGGACAGATCGGGGTTTGAGACTCTGGGTGGCTTTGAGGAAGTAACTAACCATTCTGAGTCTTCCCTGTAAATCGGGGAGAATAGTGCCAGTTTCCTAGGGTTGTTGGGAGGACCATACAAGATGATGCTGGTGGAGCACCAGGATACTAAGAGGCTCAAACGTTTATTTCACAACTATTTATTCATGACCGACAACAGATGGTATCAGGCTCTGTCCGAGGTGCTGGGATACAGTTTCCAGAGATTTGAGTCCTCTCCCCAAGGAGTTCAGTGACTGGGGGAGGAAGAGACAATTGTAAGACCAAGTGAGTCCTTCTAGGGACAGGGGGTGCATAGAGGCTGGCGGCCGTGGTAACACATTGAGGGTCACCCAACTAGACTCAGGGAGATGTCAAAAAAGGCCTCCCAGAAAAGGTGAGGTCGAACTAAGGCCTGAACCATGAGTAGTTATTGTCAGGTGAGGAGGGAAGGGAAGAGGGCTCCAGGCAGTGGGAATGTTCTAAGGCCTGGAGACAGGGAAGGAACAGGGATATTTCAGGAGGAACAAGTAGTCCATTATGGCTGGAGTCAAGAGAGGAAAGTGCCAAGAGCTGAGATTGGAGGGGTGTGCAGGGGCCAGATCATGATGAGCATGGAAACCATATATTAACGGGATTAGAATTTGACTCTTGGCCCAAACCAAATGAACATGCCCTTATTGAGAACCCAACAGGAGCTTCACATGGCTCCCGGCAGGGTGGGAGCACAGAAGACAGGACCCTGTCATTGGGTGATTTTGAACAAGCCTTCACTCTTCTTTGGGTCTCAGTTTCCCCATCTGCAAAATGGGCTACATCAAAGTTTCCCAAATGTAAACCACCTATATGGCCCCTTGTTGATTTTAGCCATATCCCTGTACCTACTGGTACTCTTACTTTAATAAACTCACTTTTTTATACAAGGAAACTTACACCACTATCTTACCTAGAAAATTTATAGCACTCGTCCTAAATAGAAAGCACCTGCAAAATACATGATTTATATATGAAAATACATAAAGATGGTGTATTTAATTCTAGTTAGCAACAGTTGCCCTGCCCAAGGCACCAGATCTGGGAGACGGCAGTGTTGAACCCACTAGTACCCAACCAGGAGTTTCCCATTAATGTAATCAGAAGGACTGGAAAAGACTCAAAAGGGAATAAATCTCTTTGTGATTGGTGTTATTTGCCATTATGCCCATGCCCACTGACCTAAAATGCTCCAAAGTGCCCCCTGTGGTATGTGTCCCCCTCTGTCCTTATTCCTCTGACATCTGTGGCCTGGAAAGTTTCCTCGAGGCAGTAAGATGGGAATAGGCGGAAAGGGGTTTCTGAGAGTACCACAGCCTAGGCGCAGGTAGGGAGAGGAGTATCAGCTCCAGATGCCTGCAGACCAGCGGGCAGGCCATTGCTAACAGGCGTTCTGCCCACATCTGCAGAGGATTTCGGTCGCCATGTCTGGAATGCGCAGAAGTGAAGAAGTCCAGTTTGGTCCCATCCACAGCCCGGAGCTCCCCCATGAGAGGGTGCTCCCGCAGCCCCTCCTATGCCAGCACCCGTTCTTCCAGCCACTCCTCCCGATCCCCAAACCCCAGGGCTTCCCCCAGGTACACCCGAAGCCGATCCACCTCCTCTGGAAAAAGGTGAGTGCCGCTTTGACCTCTGTTCTGCAGCGCTCTTCTCCTTAGGGAGCTAGTTATGGTAACCAGAGATGGCCTTTGGCCCTGGGGGCGGGGGGCAGGGGGCGGGGAAGGAGTCAGACGGACTTGAGTTTTGAATGCCCACTATACCCGTTCCTAGCCGGTGGCCCTGGGTCTCAAATAACCTCTCTGAGCCTCAGTTTCCTTATCTGCAAAGTGAAAACATTCACCTCTCTGTGCTTTGGTTTTCCCATCTGTGGAATGGGATTGATAATAGTACCTAACCCTAGGATGTGTTGAGGATTTAATGAGAAAATGCACACAAAGCATTAGTGCAATGTCTGACATGTAATAAAATACACAGTCATAGCTAACATTTCCTGTGTGCATTGAACCTAATGAGACCCTAATTTGTGAGGTATGTGATTGACTCTAACTTACTCATCTAATTTACAACGCTATAGGGTAAGTACGATTATTTATCCCCATTTTATAGATGAGAAAACAGAGGCCCAGAGAAGTGAAATCACCTGTTCAAGGTCATACAGCTAATAAGTGGCCTTAAATGGTAAGAATTCAAGAAGAAGTTGTCAATATTATTATTAATCGCCCAGAAGAGAGGGAATTTCATTCTCAGGAGAGGGCCAGACTCCTCGGCCTGGCGTCCTGAAAGAAGAAGGTCTCCCTCAGGGGACCCGCTGCATAAAGCCCTACACATCCGGGACGACCCCGTCGAAGCCCAGCAGGCCCCTCGGGGACTGTTTACTCTCCCGCAGGTCCTACTCGCGCTCTTCCAGCTATTCCTCCAAGTCGGGCAAGAGGAGCCCACCCAGCAGAAGCTCCCGATCGCGCCGCAGCCCCAGCTACTCGCGTTACAGCCCTAACAGGTACCGGCCCCGCCCCCAAGCACAGGCCCCGCCCCCCGGCCTCCTCCCCCACCCACCTCTATGGGGAGCTTCACCCAAGCCCCGCCCCTGCTCCCCCATCGTCCAGCATTGCAGGAGTAGGGATGGGGAGACGACCCAGCATCCTTGTAGTTTTCTTCGTCTCCGCTGGAGTGGATATGTTTGGGCCCCCAAACATATCCTTGAGTCCTAACGTACCCCCATAATATACAGCCAGCCACACCCCAGAATTCACAGCCCGGCCCTCAGCCTCTTCACACACCTAATACTACCCTTCTTCCGCATATTCAGAGCCCCCAGTTCTTACGCATGCGCCAGGGCCCTCTTGACGTCCGCATTCTCACCCCCGCAGCACCCGCGCCCCTGTAATGCCCACCCTCGAAGGCTGACACCCGGGCACACCCCCCCCCCCCCCCCCCCCCCAGTATCGAACCACAGCCCTGTCCTTTTCCCTCCCGCATTCCCTGGGGCCCCGGGAGAAACCACCCACTGCCCCAGTGGGGTGCAGGGCGCAGGGGAGAGGAAGTGAGTGACCCTGGCTCATGCGGATCTCCCAGCTCCCCAGTAACCCCCGCATCCCTTCAGGGAGCGGGACCCCAAGTACAATGAGAAGGACTCCCAGCAGCGGGAGCGCGAGCGAGCGCGTCGGAGACGGCGGTCCTACTCGCCCATGCGGAAGCGCCGGAGAGACTCCCCGAGCCACCTGGAGGCGCGGAGGATAACCAGGTAAGGCCAGGAGGGCCGGGGGTGCCCACCTTCACCCTCACTCCCACCCCTCACCCGCTGGGCCCCGGGTTCTCCCCGTGCCCCCTTGGAGCTGGATTTCAGGATTGTGGGAGCTCAGACACACTTTGCGGGCTCTGCTGGGAGCGGGCAGGGCCTCCGGGGCGGGGCTAGGATGGGTGCCTGGAACAGGGGTGGGACCAGCCTGAGGAATCCGGGTGTGGACGGGGTCTGCGGAGGGGGCTGGGAGGTCACGTCGAGGCAACGGGGGCCAAAGCAGTGGGGACAGATCACGCTCAGACGCACAAACAAGGCATTAATAGACCCTGATCACACCCTGCACCAAGTGTGGAGAGGGCAAGAAGGATCATTTAGGTGCCAAAGGGACTTAGAGGGAGCCCTGGTGGGTGAGGGGGAGAGGTGGGTGAGGGGCTCTGGAGTGGAATCCCGGCTGTGCCACTTTTCAGGTAAGCTGGGAAAGTCTCTTCACCTCCCAGATCTTCAGCCCTCACCCATGAAGTATGGAAGGAAATAATTCCCAGGAGTATCATAAAGATGAAATGCAAGGGGGCAAAGAGATGGGAACCCACTTTGTAAACTGAAATGCAGAACACTAGAACCCTCAGTGTGCCGTTGTTTCGGACTGAATGGTCAGACTAGGTGGATAAGGTTTCCTGTAACAGGTAAAGTCTTAGATGAGAAAAGCCCTAGAAAAGAAGCCTGAGGTCCGAGTGGACACGTATTTCTTCGGCCTGGAAAGCAGTAAGAATGGCTGAGTCTTGCCCTAAAATTGGCTGCTGACAATCAGTCGGGCTCTTCCTCCTGGCCCTCTAAGGGTCAGCCACTCCATCCAGAGACTCACGGGACTGGGGCTGGGGTGTCCTCCTGGCTGCCTAGTGCCTCCTCCCTAGAGATGACCTGGAGGAGGAAAAAGCACCTGTGCCCCAAACAATAAGATGGGGATAAAGCATCACCTTCTCAGATATCCCACAGAACACCCTGGTACACAGGAAGTCCTACACCCACCGCGTTGACCAGAGGTGTCCTTGAGGTTGACTTGGAGGAAGGCTGAGATAAACAGAGTGGCATTTCTAAAAGGCCCTCTTGTTTCCTTAGTCAACCTCAAATAGTCCATCTTGATGAACCCATTCAGTGTTTCCCAAACTTCAGTCACCCCGCAGCATCTGAGCACTTTTGACTTGTCTGTTTAGTAAGCGTACTGTAGCTTACTTAATTTTCTTTAAATAGATATGCTCTTTCTTAGAGGTCCATACATTTAATTCAAAAGGAATACACCACAGTACACTATAGTAAATGGACAACCAGCCTCTCTTACCGTAAATAGAAGGTTCTAGTAAAAGTAAAAGTAGCACAACAAAACTGCAATTAGAGTCTAGGTGTAGATCCTATTGACAGCTGGAGGTTCTGAGCCCCAGCCTTGCTTTATTAAAAAGTGAGATCGGTGACTTCTCAAGACCCCAGCACTAGGCTGAGACCATCCCCTGGATGTGCTCGGGACAGCACGAGGAGCGTAGGCGGAGGGTCTCCCCAGGGGCCTGGGAGGTGGAAGTTACTGCTCCCCCTTCTCCTGCCTTCCCCTCCCGCCGGGAGGCTGCGGAAGCTGGCGGGTGCCCCCGGGGCCGGGGTGGGCGGAGTCTGGTCCTCAAGCGCGCTCCGTCTGGTCTCCGCAGTGCCCGGAAACGCCCCATCCCCTACTACCGGCCCAGCCCCTCCTCATCCGGCAGCCTCAGCAGCGCCTCCTCCTGGTACAGCAGCAGCAGCCGCTCGGCCAGCCGCAGCTCTTCCCGCAGCCGCAGTTATTCCCGCAGCCGCAGCCGCAGCCGCAGCCGCAGCCGCAGCCGGACCCGCACGAGCAGTGGCTCCAGCTCGCGCAGCCCCAGCCTGGGCTCCCGGAGCCGGAGCCGGAGCCGGAGCTACAGCTCAGCAGACAGCTACTCCAGCACGAGGCGCTAAGCAAGGGCCCTCCCTTGAGCCGGCTGCCTGCAGCGGGGCCCCTTTCACTCTGCCAGCCTCTCCCCCTTCCCTGCCCACCCTGCCTTCTCCTTGGGGACGGACCTTGCGGGCTCCTGGACCCTGTCCTTCCTGCTCTCCTGGGGAGGAGGAAAAGAGGGTACGGGGCCTTCAGCCTCTATGTCAAGCCGCTAGGAGCCTCCACCAGCACCACCCCCGGGGCTCAACTCGGGCCTGGGCGGATGGAGAGAACCACCCTCTGTTGGCACAAAAAACCTCAAGGTTCTGTAAGAAGCAATGGGTCCGTGACTCCAACGCTTGGGCCTAGCCAGGAAAACAGAGTTCTGCTCACCCACTGCTCCTGGGATGCCTATGGAGGCACCTGCCCTCATTCTCCCCTCATTCAGCCTCCTGAGCGGGTGTGTGAACCCTCGTGGGATGGGAGGTGATGAGAGGAAACCAAGGGCAGTTAGGCCCAGGAGAGGGGGTCAGGCCTTTCACACACGCACGCACGCACACACACGCACACGCACGCACACACACGCGCACGCACGCACACACCCCACGAAACAGGCCGGAGCAGAAGTAGAAGGCAATCAGAGGGGGGAGAGAAGGGATCTGAGTAGGGATCACGGAGGTTTCAGTGGGGAGGAAGTGTCAGGAGAGAGGAAAGGGGTTCTCTGGTTGTGAGCATAGACGCAAAAGGGCAGGGGTCATTCTGCAGCACCCCCCCCCCCATTATCTTGGCGTGGTCAGGAAAAGCAGTCCAGTAGGTTCTAGCAATGGAGAGGCCCCCACAAGGCTTCGACAGCCTCTTGGCTGTTCACAGGGCCCCTGAACCTCCCTGAGAAAGGACACAGTAGACAGGACACCTTGGTCCACAGCCCCACAGCCCAGATTTGCCTCAGCCCCCACTAGCTGGCACCAGCTTAATTCCACGAGACCATCTGCTGAACATCCCCCAGTGCCATGGCCAGCTGCCAGTCCCCAGCGCCGGCCAGTCTGGCCTTACCCTCCCGTTGGTGCCTGCCTGCCTGCCCCCTCCCCCGCGGCCCCGACGGCCACACCCTGGAGCCCACCCAAAGCAGCCGAGCATCGGCTCACCCGCCCTCAGCCCCAGCCAACCCCTTTGCCTCTCAGGAATTTTGCCAGGATGGGGCACAGCAGCTCCGGTTTTGGGGGGAAAGACCCAAATCCAGAGAGTGTGAGGGGACAGGGGCGTGGGTACTCCAGAGCCTGGGATTCTCCTGGCTTCTGAGGCTTCTCTGTCAGCTCAAGCCCCACCTTCATCTCGGCCCTCCCCCAATCGTCCCTCCGCCCGGGGCTGGGCAGCACGGGTAAGCTGATCTCCAACACACAAATACCACCAGTTGCTTCATCCACAGCAGGCACTGAGAACAGGGGTGTGAGGGAGAGGATCCTTAAAATAAACCCCTGGGCATCCCCCTCACCAGCTGACTGGTTTTCCGGAGCCTTGTGGGTGAGTTTCAAGTTTGCGGCAGCAAGGGCAGCGGGACAGGGCACGGAGGGGGATCGTGAGGGGGGACAGTTCCCAGCTCTGGATACTGGGGCCGGCTACGGGGAAGCAGGGACCAAACACTCTTTATCCTTCCCACCCGAAGGAAAACACTGGAACGAAAAAATCCTTTTTCTCGAAAGCAGTGACCTGTCCCCCCAACTCCCAATCTTTCCCATTACATCAGCCCATGGGGCCAGAAACTGCCCTGCAACCACCCACAAGTCCTTCCTCCATCAGGAGAGCCGAAAGCGAGGTGCCCCAGACAGCACTGGACGACCTGGCCTTCCCATGATGCCCTCTGGCCCAGCCCTGGGCCCCACCCGCCCAGACTGGCGGATGCCGACGCTGTCACCGCAGAAGGCCGGATGGCAGGTGCCTGGGACAGGGGCAGGTGCCCTGGGAGGGCATGTACAGCAACTGTAAATAACCCTCTTCCCTGCCCAGGAACGCAAACTGGGCTCCAGTCTCCCATCATGGAGCCACGGAACCTCATTAGCGGGACAGCAGTGAGAGAGGCCCAAGAGCCTCCCATCAGACTGCCTTCAGACAACTCTAGGGGACCATTTTGCCTGGGGCTCCTAGCAAACCTATTATTTATTTTATTTATTTATGTTTATTTATTTATTTATGTGATGACTTCTCTCTCTCTCTCTCTCTCTCTCTCTCTCTCTCAGTTGCCATTAGCAGTATTCAACTATTTATTTATATGGAGAGGTGTGTGTGTGTGTGTGTGTGTGTGTGTGTTTCGGGGTGGGGGGGCTTCTAAATTATTTTTGCGCATCTTTTTTCCCTTATATCTTTGTGGGTGGAATCTGAGAGGTCGGGTGTTGAGTAGGGATGTTGGCTTTGTCCCTGCAGGGGAGACCCACAGATCTCTAAGTCCAAACATCCTGGAGTTGGCCTGGGAGGGTGGGGGGAGCACTTCAGACCCAAGGTTCATCGTTATGTCAGTGAGGTTCAGGCTTGCGCCCCAGCACCCTGCCCACCAGCTGCACTGAGGTATCAGAAAGATGAAGAACAGCCACGAGCTTTGTGAGCTAAGGCCCCAAAACGGTACAGTGGAGTCACAGCTCACGTGGGGGTTGAAGTCCAAAGTTAGCATAACCTAACTAAGGCAAAATTTGCAGAGTCAGAAATCTCGGTGTGAGCGCTGTAGGGAGGCACCTGCTGGGAGACAGCGATACTGGCCCTTGCCAACTGAGGAGGCTTTGTTCAGTATTTATTGAAGTAGCCGCCTTGGGTTTGGGCGGTCATGGTGGTTAAAGCGATGATGTCTGGTTTAGCACTAGGATTGAACTTCGAGTTGACAAGGAGAGTATGGCAAGAATTAAGCTGGCTGAGGGGAGAGAAGATGCACCTGTGGTCTCTCACCTCACTCCAGGGCATACGGTAGTGGGCAGGATCCCTACTAGCTTTTCGGAGCATGCCTGGTTGGTTCCGTGTAAATTATACATGCTTCCGCCTCCCCTGTAGCCCATTTCTCCCCATCCCCTGAGGTTTTTCCAGGCTGTTCTATTCCTTCTGCAGTGGACGCACACTGCTTCCCGGAGCAGTGTCCACCATCCTAAGAGAGAGACACAGACCCAATGCAAAAAGCCTTTTACTGTGATCTTTTGCTTTCCATCAGAGGAGAGCACAAAGCTATTTCAGAAATTAGAGAAAGGGGGCGGGGAAGACAAGAGGAAAGGAGCAGCCAGAGGTTCCCCCAAGAAGGTCATTTCGGGGCCCATCGAGCCAGGATCTAGAGGCCTTTACCAGTCCTGCCTCTAACTGCAGGGTCTTCTTGCTGCTTCCCAGAGGGGGCCCCACCCTTTCCAAAGTCACCACTCACTGCCTTGAAATCGCCAGCTCCTCTGGGTCCAGCTTTTAGTTTGGTGAGATTTCTGCAACATCCCTGGTTGTTTCCCTGGCAATGTGATTTTACCCAGCTCTAACCCCCAGCCAGGGGAAAGTTTGCAAGAAGGCTGTTTAAATGCCTCCTGGGGTGGGGGGTGAGGGAGGGAATCTCTGTCCCCCCCTCTTGCCGGATATGCTTCTCCAATTTCCCTTACATTTCCTTTCTTATGCATCCAAAAATAAAACGCTTGTTGAGGTGCTGGTAACCTTGCTTAACCAGAGCCCCCCGTTCCTGGCATCAGTGTTCCTCTGCCTACTTCGCCCACATTACCTTCTGTTTCCAGGGAATGAGACAAATTGCCTGAAACCTGCGTGTGGTATGCACTTATTTTTAAAAGCCAGCATTGGGGGGTGTGGCACGCGGCCCAGCAAACATGCAGCCTTCCTGGATGAATGAACCTGGACAGATCGCTCAATTTTTCCAAGCCAAAAATTACCCCTTTGAGAAGTGGCGGAGTTTTTGAGATATAATCCAGAATGTTGACCTGAGGCCTGGGAAATTGTCCAAAGACCGGGTGAGTTCACCAGGATTGAGAAGAAAAAGGAAAACAGCCTCAAATCTTTTTAGGAGGTTCTCAATCATTAGAGTAAAACTTAAAGCAATATGTGAGTTCCCTTCGGTCAAATTAAGAAAAGCTAACTCCCTCAAAGCCCCCATCCAGGAACATTCTAGTTCCTCGAGGATCAACTGCCTTCCTATCTCTGTTTCTTCCCTTGTTGAAGGAAAGGCAATATTTCAGAAGCCAAACGACATTTAAGATGTTTGAAAGACACAAGGGTCTTGGTCTCAGAGAGCCCCCATCATCCATGAGCTCAGAACCATCCTCTTCCCCAAAGGCTTTGCTTGAAGAGGACCAACGTTTGGGTGCTCCCAAAGGTTCCCAAGCACTTTTTTTTTTTTAAGTCCCACTCCCATCATTTCTTCCGCTGTATTCTTTCCAACGAATATTCAAAGTAGTCTCACAAGCATGGGTCTTGCCTTGCTTCACTCTCCAGCTAAATAGAAAAGTTTGATTAAAAAACAAACAGCATTCCTCAAACTGCTCCCTCCTCCGTTAGCCAGCTGCATCCAGCTGAGGAGCTCATGCTACATCCAGTGTCATCAAGCAATGCTTTATTGCAACCTCTTCCTCCTCACTTCTGCACCAATGAGCCAGTGATACGGATAGACTTGGCATCTCCCCTCTGTGGCTGCCGTTTTGGGCTTTTTTTTCTTTATTGAGGGTTTTTTTGGGGGGGAGTTGTTTTGCATTGTAAATACCATGATGGGGGGCCCCTCGTCAGAACATGCTTATTTAATAATTTATTGCCTATTTATTGAGTGGTATCGGGAGAGGAGAGGGACTACCTCTTCCCCTGAATTGCTATTGGAAATCAGTGATCTCCCAGCTCTGGGTGCGGCTGTCTGCAGCAAGGGGCATTATCAACCAGGTAATGAGTGCTAGAATCACCCAGCAAATTGGAATTGGCAGAAACGGAGTCTTCAGTCATACAAATTAAGTTCAAATGGAACTAAAACACTGGTTATCTCCGGGAAAACCTCATTTTGATGGAAATTAATTGCAGAATAAAATGCCTATGCACGAACCAAATTCTATTAAAAAGTCACAACTCCTTGAAAAAAAAAGAGAGAGAGAGAGAGAATTGTAATTCCTTTTCTCTGGCCAAGAAAAGATATGCCTCATCTTCTAACAAGTTGAGCCAAAGAGACTGGAATAACATTCCTTTGTGATTCTCTGGCCTGTGTGTGTGTGTGTGTGTGTGTGTGTGTGTGTGTCTGGATGAAATGGAGTGGGTCTCGGGCCTCAGTGTTATCATCTGTAAAATGGGACTTGGCCTAAGTGTTCTTGGCAAGGGAGAGGGCGGGGGTTCCACCTCTGATGCTGTGAGCTCCAAACTCTCAGGTATACGGTCCCTGGTGTCTTCTGCCAACTGTAGGCCGAAGGATGTCTCCTAAGGAAGGAAATAAAACACCAGGGCATGGACCTCATTTGCAGGGTAAGGTGGTAATAGTTGAGTCCTGCAGTCAAAAATGGGAGGCCTCCAGATGCTGCCACCTGATGTAACTCTTGTAGCCTGGGTCAAAGAAGCCTTCTATCTTAGCTTGACCTTCTCTCCAAGCCCAGCCGTTATCAAAGGAGAGACCAAGAAGGCTTCGCTGTTCTCTGGAGTTCACCACTGTTCATCATGTCAGACCACATTTTGTACAGTTGTTCGAACAAGGCAGTGACCTAGGTCATGCTGCCATTTGTCGGATGAGAAAACTGAGGCCCGGGAAGGGGGAATCTGGTTTGCCGAAACTCCCTTGAGCT